CATCTGCTCTAATCCCACTGACAGAGACCAGAAACTTCAGGATCTCTACCAAGCATTTATAAACCTCAACTACCCACCTGGAAAAAGAAAAAAGCAAATTGAAAGAGCCAGACAAATACCTAGAAACCATCTACTTCAAGACAGACCCAAGAAAACCAACAATAGAACACGATTTGTCATCACCTACAGACCCCAACTTAAACCTGTCCAACACATTATCAATAAACTACGGCCCATACTGGAACAGGATACTACACTCCAAGAGGCTCTGGGAGACAGACCCATAGTCTCCTATAGACAACCACCTAACCTCAAGATGATTCTTACCAACAACCACAGGACATACCACACTAATACCAATCCTGGTACCTTCCCTTGAAACAAATCCCATTGCCAGCTTTATCCAGATATTCACTCTGCTGATACAATTATTGGACCTAACCAAGTGAGTTATAAGATCAAGAACACATATTCCTGCGCATCCAGAAATATAATTTATGCTATCATGTGCCGAAAGTGTCCGTCTGCTATGTACATTGGACAAACGTTTCAGACACTTCGCCAAAGGATCAATGCCCACAAAACAGATATTAGACAGGATCACAAAGAAAAAATAGTTTCTTGCCATTTCAACCAGAAAGGACATTGTCTCAACGACATAATTACCTGCATCCTGCTTCAAAAGCTTTTTAAGATTGCACTTGAAAGAGAATCCTCTGAACTGTTATTCATGCTAAAATTTGACACTTTACACCAGAGTCTGAACAAAGGATCTAGTTATCTTACCCATTACAAAGATAGCTTCCCCAATTATTATCTCTAATATCATTAGCTCACAGATATTTACCTTCCCCCTTCTGTTCTGAAATTTGATTTGTCCTTTTCATATGTGTTCATTTTTTTAATTGTATCCTTTGGTATATATGGTTGTGACAATTTTCTTCCACTATTTGATCTGAGGAAGTGGGTCTGGCCCACGAAAGCTCATCATCTAATAAACCATCTTGTTAGTCTTTAAAGTGCTACATAGTCCTGTATTGAGTTCTAAAGGTTACTACAGAGACTGGACATCAGCTAAAATGGAAGCTGGATAACCAACAACAAACAGTCACCTCAGAAACTGCAGCAACTAAGCCAGATACTATAGTAGACTGCAGGTCAGCAGCAATGGCAAGCAACCTATCAACTGCAGCAACAATTGTTCAGGATTTGGTAGCCTAACACTGTGCACAGCAAGAATACCTGTTACATCAAGTGGGGGCACTACTGCACCCTCCAGGGGCATCTAGTACTTCAGTAGTCCTATTTACCTGGTTGTAAATCAGGCTTATGAAAATGGAACCCAAGAGATGACCTTTCTGGTCACTTTCTGGTCACTTTTAACTAGCCACTGGTACAGCTAGATATCCTGATAGTCTTGTATTTGATGGGTGCAACACAAGCAGCCTAGACCACACAGAAGCATTATAGTATGCCAAGGTAAAGGCAGCCATCTTTGACTACCTGAATATCAACCCCAAAATGTCTGCCAAAAATTCTGCAAAGCCTGGCCCCTCGTGGTAGCTTAATTGCTGGGTAGCATTGATGCAAATTTGACTGGAGTTTTGTTGTCCAGGAATACAACACGTTTGAGAGATAAATGAACAGCTAATTTTCATAACTGTAGATACAAAGGTATTACATGCATATAAATAGGATTATCATACTGAGTAGGATCACAACTTTTCCATTGATTCCTTGCATGACACACTTGGTCAGATTAAGTGCAATTGTGCAACAGTGATGATACATCAATAATTGTCCTCCTTTGAAAAGGGTGTTGGACTAGATGACCTCCTGAGATCTCTTCCAACTCCAATCTTCTATGATTATATGAGTCTCCCAAACTTTCCACAAGGTGTAACAGTTAACTCGAACTAAGGGCTTATTTTGAGTTAATGTTTGACTGCCGCATGTAGCTGCGTGCAATTAGTTTGGACTAAGGGGATTTAAAAATGGTGCCCGGACGGGAAGATGCAAATAAAGCCCGGGATATTTAAATCCCGGGCTTCATTTGAAACTTGAAATGCCTATATTAGCCTCCCTAGTTTGAACAATGGGGTTAGTGTGGACATACCCTAAGAAGTAAGGGGTAAGGAGCAACTCTTGGCCCAGGAATCCATGCCCAGTGAACACTGCTGTGCATGATTGTAATGGAGAGGACAGAAGAAAAATTGTGAGCTGCTGGCTTTCCTGAAAAGCCATTAAGGCCCTATGAAGCTGGCAGCAAGCCCCATTGCCCAGCCACCATGAGCCCTCCAACCAAGGATGTTGGATAACAATGAGCCAAGACTGAGAAAAGACCCCCCTGGAGCATGACTGGAAAGGATTCCAGGGGGAACTTGGATACAAGTCAGTGACAGCCGCAGAAGAATTGCAGCTAGTTGTAGGGAGTCACCCATGGAATAGGATAGGGGAATCTTCCACATAATCCAGTCATTCTGAACTGTGATTTACTGGGATTGGAACCTGGTGTAGCAGGTGGGGTTCAGGTTCCCATGGCCATGGACTTTTGCTCCAGGTGTCACTTCAGAGAACTGTCATCACTGTGCAACACAACCTAGATTATTACTACTAGGAACCAAAACACCTCACCCCAATGGGATCAAATCTTCACCAAAAACCCAAGCAAATCAGAAATAAGTGTCTCACTTTTGTATATAGTTCTAGAAGAAGGTAATAAAGTTGCATATGTGTCTTAATCCACAAGAAAGAACAGAGAAGTAGTGCACAATGTCTGAGACACAAGATGTTTTATAACAAAGAAAAGCATGCCTTAACTTCAGGTCAAGGGATAAACACAGATGCAATATAACCTGTCATTGGGGAATACGAAGTGAGTAAAGACATTGCATGTGTGTCAGAGAAGAAATTCAGAGCAAACAATCTTTAAGGATGATTTAGCCATGTGTAAGAATTCAAGGAAATATTCAAAAGGAAATATTGTAAATGAGAATGAGGATTGAAAATACATTCAGTAAAGGCAAAGTCTGACTTCCAAACATTCAGGAATTTAAATCACCGCAAGCCACAGAATATGATTCTATAATAATAAATCTACAGACATATTGGAATGTCACATTCATTTTAAGGGATTATGTGACATGAAAATCAAACTTCCCTTCACTGGTTGCTCGCACATATCAAGTTTTATGATGAACTGGCTTCAGTCAGAGGTAATATCTTTATTGTTAATTCCTTCATTGTGTCCTCCAGGAAGGATTTCCATCTGGTGCCTGTAAAATACTACAAATCTTGGGATATGGTTCAATGAACAATGGTTCTCATAAATTTTAATTTGTTTATGAACAAGATTTCATGTAATCTCTGGACATGGAACCATTTACTGTTTTCATTTGTATGCAAGGGAATGCTTTAATAAACTGAGCACTTGATATATCAATAAGATTCTTCATGATTCTGTTGGATATACTTGATTAATCATTAAAAGGTTAATTTCTTTAGGACAGTCAGTTTAAGTTATAGGATCAAAACACCAAAGTCCACTGAAGTGTTGGGCAACAAATTCTACAGAACAGAAATTTCCAATTCCTTATAAATTAACATTCACTAGATCAAAACCTAGGCCAATTCCTCAGAAGGTGAAATTGATTAAAAACAAACAAACAAGCTTAATCTCTGAATGAATGTAGTGCTTATAAAATGTTCTGACTTTATCTGATCCAGGGAACATAGTCATCTCTATTAATCCCCAGAAAATGCACGGTGGAGTGGAGGTGGCAGCAATGCAGCTTTCATAAACATTTTTGCTCATGGGAGATGAAGGATGGATGAGTGACCTTCAGAAATTAGTGTGATTTGTAATAATGAAATCAAGAGCAGTACAAGGCGAATAGGCTACTAAAAAGTTAGACCAACAAAAAGGATTAGAGGTAGCTATTAGTTTCCCGTGTGCGCACGTGCGCGGGCGGGGGAGATAAAATATGGCTAAAATGGAGGAAAAATATACATAGCCTGTATACTCTGTACATATGGTAAGATAAGAAAGACATATTGCTAGTGAATAAATCTGACATTTAATTTTGGGAGCTCAAGCTGATAACAAACATGGATTCAGTTGTTTGTATGTAGTTTGCACCTGGGAAGCCCTGCTAAAGGGCAGAGAAGATCATGAATGGTTCTTGAAAGTGAAAAAGGTCTGTTGGTATCCCCATTGTGAACAGCTCAATTGTTTTCTCTGGAGTAGTGAGTCAGACAGTCTGTTCAACCTTCAGACATGTCAGTGTGTAACACTGGTTATAAAAATGTGTGACAAAGGGTCAATATATGGACACCTGTTTTTGTCAGGTGTAACCAAAATCATTTTTCAGTGACAAAAGTTAACCAGAGAAACAGCAGTTTTTAAAGGCTGGTCTTCAAGTAGCAGTACTCAGCTTTCACTTTTCCTTACTGCTGCTCTGTGTTGTTATTTTTGTTATTATTTTTTTAATTTGTTTGTTAATTTTTTAGTTAGCACAGAACAGGAGCTTCCATAAATGTGACCTTCCCAAATACTGAAAAAGACACTTTTAAAGAGAGCTCACACTCTAAAGACTGACATAATTAAGTAGATTGAGGTAAGTCAGAAAAGAAGTAACAATCAACAGTTTATATTCACATCAGTTTTATTCTCAGTGAGCACTATGCCATATTAAAGAGAAACTTAAATATGAATGACAGGTCAGATGCTTTATAATTGAGGTAAGGGCAACTGTACAATGCATGGTGAGAAGAAGATATGGCGGTATCCTATGAGCAGTGAAGGAGAGAAGAAACATTTTGGAAAAATATTAAAGGTAGGTTTTGATGAATCTGTGTTTGTTAATTCATATCACTTTTTGTGTCATCCTCATATTTCATTCCTCCACTCTTTTACCTGGCCTGTTATGGTATGGAGTTTCCTAATCTAAAACCAGGAAGAAAATACCATGCCTGCAAGTCCCATGGGCCCTCTTGATTACCTTATACTACAGTAACAAACATAGCAGCATCTCTTGTCTTGGTGCTTGTCTTCATAGTGCTAGACAGGAAGTGGTGCAGTCTCTTGTTATTCTCAGGGAACTGACATAGATTCCATTTTACTAGTCTCACTCCAAATTGCTGCATTTAGCCACTTGGAGAACATTCACCCCTCTGTGAAAGGGAGCTGGACCAAGCCGTGATGTTACACCAGAGATGAATTTGGTCCAATATGTATCACTTCTCCATCTTCCTATACACAGTGATATCTGGGAAGAAAAGATGGCAGAGAATTATCCAAGAGCAGGCTTTCCATGGATGTAGAGCTGAAAGTAATAAGTAATGTATCCAACTGAGGTCCTGGATAACTTTCATAATTGCCAATTTTACATTTCCCCAAGAAAGTAGAAAACTATGCAGTGTTTATTTTTTTTTAAATTTTATTCCAGTCCATTCCTCATATCCACTTTTTATTAGCCTACATCGCCCTACCTGCCAAAAATTGATTTTAGCTAACGTTGTATTGGCCCAGAAGAGAAATCATCATTTTCACTAATAAGGTTATAATGACCGTTTCTGTGATTACAGTTCACAGTTGACAGAAGAGTTATAGCAGGTGAATTGAGACCTCCTAACAAGATAACAGCAGTGTAGTCATGTTGTGTTGATAACTAAATGGCTATCTGGTGTTCCCTACTTTACAACTGTTTCTTCAGTTGGATGCTTTGATCCCAGTTAAGCATTTTTGCAGTAGAAATTTGTTTATACAGTTTGGAGATGGTCTGGGAATACTTACTGACTGAATTCTGTGTGATCAACTATTTTTGGAGATATGATCAAGAATCTTCTGCTCAAAAGTCAACCTTTTGCTCAAGTTAAGGAAATAAAAACTTAAGAACGGCAGTGAAAACTGTAAATGAAATAGATAAACACTGCTGATCACTTCCTCAGCTGATGTAATTGACAGAGCTCCATTGACTTCAGTGCAGCTATACTAACTGACAGCAGTTGAGGTTATGGCCCTGTATTTCTGATTAAAAAAAGATCACAGTTAAGCCTCTTGGCCCCTTGCTTCATTTTAAGTGCCAAACTTACTTTTATTTCAAAATACAAACCATGCTTCTCTGTATGCTTTAATATCAAACCCAGGCTAACATGTCTTATCTTATGTTACTACTGTTTACTCTCAAGCTTTGGAACATAGATGTTACTTCCTTACTGACCCCCTGCTATAAGTCCAAAGGGATTTTCACTTTAACAGCCAATAGGCTCCTTTTTGAACATATTTCACACATTTTCTACTGTTTCTTCATTCCAGTGTTGAAACACCAAACCTGAGATTGTTGTCATTTTGACAACCACATTACATTCTCAGATACACATGAATTCCTGGCTGCAGAGGTGAACAGGCAAGCAGTAATTTCATGACAACAGTACTGATAAGAGGAAGTGAGCAGAAATAAAGAGCTGTGTGTGTGTGTGTGTGTGTGTGTGTGTATTCATGTGTGATTATTTGTGATAGACTACAAAAGACAGCACCACTACTCATATTAATAATATTTTTTTTTTGCTTTAATTATCTGTCTTGGTATCTGTCTCTAACTATGTAATCTCACATTCATTGCATGCTGCAGAGTAGTATGAATTTGATGGCCACTGGCTTGAAGCCTGGGACTAAATAAAGCAAATTGAACCATGACACATGTTTTCTATTGTCTCTTACCCCTAAATATGGCATCCAGTGTTCACATAACTTCTATTCCTACCTACATAAATGTGTCTTTCTTTAACCTAACAATTTTCACTATGATCAGTGACTGTTGCAGCTAGATCTAAGTGGAATTGATGAGCCACCTGTTTCTACATTTAAATGCTTGCTTATTAGTAATGACAGAGATGAAACTATTGCTGCCATTGGGGAGAGCAGAGGTGTCTGCTGAGTTCTCACAAATGCAAGCGCTATTGGAAGAATTGAACATGGACTGTTAGGAATTGTGTGGTGTTTAGTGTACATTTATGAATATAACATTGTTTATTAATCCACTTCAGTCCTTGCAATACATAATTATTACTATGTTTGTCACTGATCCTGTGGATGCTGTCTCCCCGAATAATAACAAGTAGAATGTGCTTTCAGTAGCATTAGGCATTCCGCAGCATATGTTGTGAAGTTATAAAGATGAATAAGTCTGTGTTTGTTCAACCTATAGGTCACAAATGTTTTCAGGACCTGTTTGCTGCTGGAATAGCCCCATGATTTCTGGGTGTATCTGCTTCTGCTTTTATTGCTGAGATTCCTGGGCCATTTTCCTGTCTGCTCTTTCCTTTTTTATAGTGTCTAAAATATTCACCTATCATGTGCATACTGTGCTTATAATCTGATGCAGCACAAGCTAGCAGGATCTGACCAAACATATCCTGCTATGTCCTCTCCTATCTCCTCCTTTTCTAGGTGTTTTTCTGTTATGGAGCTAACAGGTAAAACAGACCAGAAGTACTGTATTTGTAGTCACAATGAAAAGTGAAAGCTAAGTGCCTTTCCTTTGCTCCTCAAAAGTTTTAAACAAGACATGCTGAGCACCACTGAGAGAGTCAAATCAGGGCAAATTGCTTAAAAACAGAGCTACCTATTAGGGGTCCTCCACTATAGAGCACTCATGTATACCTAGGTGAAAGCCAGATAGTTTAAATCAACCTAACATTGTAGTGCAGCGCAGAACTCGGACTTCCAGATTTTTTTTTTATTCCTTTGACAAATATATTAAATGAAGAAAACTAGTTGAAGCAATCTTAGATAGCTAATTAGGAAATAATTTACAAATTGGAGTGAAAATAATGTTAATCCAACTACAGAATGTATGGAGGTTTGATTTAGATGAGTATCCTACGTGAGTACTTATTTGAACCTTTTTTGAACCTTTTAAAGCATGCTTCTTCTGTGAATCCAGTCAACTGTCTCACTTGCATCAACCATAGAATGCAAATTGGGAAGAGGAAGGAAAAATGGGAGCCACTTATTTTTTATCATTAAAATCTTCAGAGATAACTGACAAACGAAGGAGCAGATTCTTTGAAGTAAGAAAGTGCTAATTTTGTATAGTCACTTTTTAGAAAAGAAACATACTTTAAGAGTCAGAGAAATTGGTGAAGTTTTAAAAGGAATTTTTACAGGTGTTCTCAGTTAGGAAAGAATCCAGAAGATATAGAATATGACCAACATAAAGCACTAATTGAAGATAAGCCTGAGGAGCACACCAGGAGATTTCTGCTGGTTACCTTTATCTTCAGCTATGGGAGAAGTCTTAGAAACTATTTTGGGAGATCAAATGAGGAAACAAAACTTTGAAAAGCCCAGCTTGATTAAGAACAGCCAATTCCGAGTCAGGAAAGGAAGGTCATTCATTGCTCACTTTCTGGAATTCTTTAGGGAATCGCTACAGATAGTCAAATGGGGAGTGGAATTTAAACATATATTGAGAAAGCCTTTGACAATTTTTTCTACTGGAGTATCATATCTAAAGCTATTGAAAGGTGTGGGAGACTGGTTCCTTGGATTGAAGAATGATTTAGAAGGGAAACAAATCTGAAAGCCAATAAAAAGTTTCTAACCAAGAGTTTTAGTAGACATTGAATATTGCCTAATAGGGAAGCACAGCTGTAACTGAACAAAACTTGACCTAGTTGGGGGCACAGTGTGGAAACTTCCCCAAACATCTTTGCTAATACTTTCAGTTTTAAGACTTATTAGGAAGCTCTGGAACTAGTAAAGTATTCATTAAATTAAAGCCCCAATCCTGCAATCTGATGCACAAAAACATGCCTGAGCCTAGCTGGAGACCCTCTGACCTCAATGGGACTCGGTTTGTGCATAACGGTATGTCATATCAAATCAGATTGCTGGAGTGCATCATTAGTCTATAATGAGCAGCTTGTATTTTACTTGAACTTGATATCTGGAAATGTTCAATGAATGTATTTATTTAACCCTCTGGATTGCTTATGAAGAGTTGATTGCATGTATCTGATATTTAATATTCACTCTTCAAGCTCTTGGGTAGCTATGATTTGTCAAATGAAATATATTATTTCTGTTCCCTGATTAGATAAGTATTCAGGAAATATTTTTGTAATGTTGAGCACTCCTGCTGCTAATAGTGATACTGCTGGACCAAATGAAGAAACATAAATGAACCTAGTGCCAAAAAAAATCTTCTCTGTTCTCACTTCCCTGAAAAGATTTAATAGCAGAGTGCCAGATTGAAGTCTCCTGGCACTCATATTTCATAATTTTCTCCAAGCACACTGAAGAGCATTATGAGGTATTATAAATAATTAAAATTAAATTTCAGTTGTCAAATAAATGAAGAGAATGCTTTTTCTGATATATCTTTGCTTTTAAAAAAAACATGTCTGATCATTTGAGTTAAATCGCAAAATTCATAAATTTGAAATTGGCCTTCTAGTTGTTTTTGAAGATTAACATTGCAAAAGTGTATGACAAATAGAGCTGAAAAATACCAGATTTTTAAACTGGGGTAAAAGATAACTTCCAGTTATATGCTGTGTGATGGGTCGGAGCTGCCCACCCGGATGGGGCCGATTTGCCCCGCACTCCCCCCAGGGTCGCGCACACGCTCCTTGGTGCGAGACAGGAGGCATGGACCGCTGGTGCTCACTGCTCTGTGGCCACTGCCCAGCTGACTGGCACGGGGGCTGGCTGCCGGGGAACCCTACCTGCTGAGGCTATGTCAAACATCAAGTGATGTCCTCAACCCCAGGGTCGGTGGGTGATGTCACAAGAAGGTGACCCAGGTAGGGGCTTAAAAGGGGGTAAGGAAGACACAAGGGAGGGGGTAGGTGAGAGAGGGCAGATGTGGTGGTGTGGAGGCTCTGCGGCACCAACACCAGCAGAGTAGGAAGCAGCCCATGGCAGGGCATCTTAGGATTTGCTGGCGGGCTGGTGCATTGCAGGTGTAACCCCACCAGCTGGATACGATGACACTAGAGCCTGTCCTTAGGGCCTTGGGCTGGGGCCCATGAGAGTGGGTGGGTCTGGGCCCCCATACCCCGCCTCCGGAACAGAGAGAAGGGAGGGTCAGTGGCATTATTGCCAACTTCGCATGCCGAGCGAAGGGACTTTGCAGGGATCCAACTCTACCCACTTTTGTGTAGGAGCCAAACTGAGAGACTCACAGGGTGGGGTCGCTTTTGTACATGCTGTAACAACTGTTCTCAAGCATGAGGCCTATAAACAGTTAGTAAACCACCA